TACCATGAAGCGAACGCTGATGAAGAGAACAAAAGCGAAGTTCGATACCAAAGGCCACATATGTAGACTAAGTGTTTCACTGAATCTCGAGAAGTCAGTCCTCTGAAAGATCCCGGTAATGGGATCCCAGAGGTAGGTCCTGGAGCATAGGACCAACTCGTGCTTTTGAGAGGCCGAGCTGTGCCGTAAAATGTAAATTTTCGAAGATTACCTAGACAAGTCCTTTGTTACCCACCTCTTTATATCAACTCTTATCGGAGATTTCATTTCCCTTATAACGGAATCCGGTGCATTTTGTTATCTGATTTAGTTCCATTCGAATTCAAATCTTTTGGTTCCAGGAAGATTTCGACGGCAACTATTCTCGAGCCACTTGAAGGGTATTAGATGGACTTGATATGCTCCAACCTAGAAGTTTCCACTTACACGCCACTGATCAGGCTTTCATCGAGGTTAGGATGCATATCAGCCTCATGTACTGAATTCATGGTAGTTTTTTTTTATATCCCGGAGCCTTATAGGAGTTTAGCTTTATTTCTATGACCTTTATTCGATTGAAGTGAACGAAAAACTCCGACAGTCTTGGCTTGAATCCGATTCTATTAAACGAGCAAGAAAGAGAGGTTGGGATGAGAAAAAGAAGGATATGGTTTTGGAGAATGTGTTGGATGAGAGCTGAACGTTTTAAAAATTGCTCTTGAAAAGGTGATACATCGTAGAATTAGGGCTGAAAGTACAGCCAAATAGAGATTGCCTGTTTTTTCTTTGGAGGAAGGTTGGGTGGTAACACCATGGTGATTATGCTAATTCGATTACCATTTGGAGGGGCGGACCTCAAACGGCTAATGAAAGAGAAAGCCACTTAGGCTCGTCTGTGCTCATCCCGTGACCATATGCCCTTCCATCGACAATGGGCTGACCATGAGTGAAGGAGGAGGGGGACGTTACCCGTTCACCATCAACACTATCGTGAACCATCTGTAGTTCCCATGAAGTGAGATGTCAATGAACCATAAATCTTTCGCTAATTACAGGCTCCGAAGGCAACTCGGAGTACGTGCGGAAAGTGGATGTAAGAGATTACCATCATCAGATAGGGCGATGACAGAGGTCAGTTTTCTGAGTGACGACCTTCAACACCTCAATCCAGTTGTGCTAAAAGGATGTGGGGATGTGCCAGCAGTCGCTTTGAAAAGGGGGACAGAAGGTGTAGTCCTCGCTATGACAACAGAATGAAGAAAGAAGAAAGAAGCTTCGTTAGAGTGCAGTCTGAGGGTGGACTTTCATGGCGAAGAGCCTTTTGTGACAAATTCTCAATTCCGCTGCTCGCCCTTTAAGGAATCTAGTAGAAAGTAGTGAAGTGGTAAAAATTTGAATCAAATCGTGAGGCATGTCACCGTAGCGTTCAAGATCTTTGCACGATCTTCATTTCTAGAGCTGGTAGAGCTGTTCCATCGGGCCGAAAGAGATGGGGAAATATGAAGACTGGAAGGAAAAGTTTCACGAAATCGCGAACGGATGATGAAATCGCGATTCCGTGTATCTAACTGAGCAAGTCATCTTTTCTTTTCGCGTTCTAGTTGTATTTATTTGCTTTTGATTGCTTCCATCTGGGAGATATTCTGTAGTGGTCATTCTGAAAGTTGAGTGATGAATACGAACGGTTATGTGGTACATAATCTATAAACTCGGCATATTGTTTGTATATGTAGATAAAAGTTCAATCTTCAGCTCTTCTTTTATTTCCAGGAGAAGCGTCTGCAGTTGATGTAAATATATATTTCAAGGAAAAAAAAAACGAAATGAGTTCATGAGTATGGGCAAAGCATGGGCAATCCATCTGCGTATGTTCTCCTATTAATAATAGATGAGGGTTTTGTATAAAGGGTACCTGCCTTCTTTACACCCCTCAAGTCCTAGAAAAACTACCCCTTTTCATATGAAATTTGGTGATATCTCATGATAGAAGTGGTTCGTGGTAAGCAGCACGGTGTATCGATGTGTTCTGGGCTCACCCGCACAACTGAGCGAGCTTTCCTCACTCACATAGGCGACCTTGTAAAAAACAACTTATGTGGTCGCGTTCCAAATCTCCTCACTAACTAACTAAGCGCTATTCCGTTTATACTTTGCGAAAGCGCATTTTTGCTTAGCGATAGTGCGGTTTTACTAAGCGATATCGCGCTATACTTAGCGAAAATCCGTTTATACTCAGCAACAGTGCGTTTATCAGATACTGAGCGATATAAAACGGAAATAGTTCGAACAAGTGGCCATGGACCGAAAAGCGCATAAATATCGAAAAGCCGAACGTCATGAAAACATCAAATTACGTTCGAAAAAAGGAAAAAAGGTGGAAAGGATAGAGCGTGTCGTCTACAAAAGAGCTTGCAAAGTCGAAGGCATCAGAAGCAAATAGTGGACAATGAAGAAAGCAGCTCACTGAATTCATTCAGAAAAGCTGCTGTGTTTGCCCTGTTCAAGTGATTTTCAACCTCCATCACTGGCTTGGGGATGTATACTAACGAGACTACACCCCAGCGACCGTGTACAGGAGCATGAAGTTTGCCACCCTCGTCACTGTGCCTTTTCTCTGTGCCTTCTATCCGTGATTCCCGGGGCAATCGGGAAATTTTCGCCTGATGAAGCCGGGAGGTCCGGTGAACGGGCTCGGCGGAAAACTAAATTTTCATGAAATTGCCGAAATCAGTGTACAAGCTGTATAAATGTGTAGCTGTATAAATGTGTGTAGCTGTACAAGCTTTATAAATGTTGCTCGGACTTGCTTAATAGTTTCGGCGGAGGCAGAACAAAGATAGTTTTGCTATATTACTTCACAAAAACTTTTTAAACCATGACTTTTTAAAACTTTTTCACAAGCTTTCACCTTTACTATTGAGTTTTCGATTTTCTCCAGTTTCTTCCATGGTTACGATCATACAGCTTGTACACTGATTTCGGCAATTTCACGGAAAGTCAGTTTTCCGCCGAGCCCGTTCACCGGACCTTCCGGCTTCATCAGNCGGACCTCAAACGGCTAATGAAAGAGAAAGCCACTTAGCCTTGTCTGTGCTCATCCTCTGACCATATGCCCTTCCATCGACAATGGGCTGACCATGAGTGAAGTGAGGAGGGGAACGTTACCCCTTCACCATCAACACTATCGTGAACCATCTGTAGTTCCC